ACATTGTCTCTGTTTCTTTTAATTGAGTTTTAACAATGACGATTTCTTTTCTTTCAGAATTGGTTACTGGTACAGATGATTTTGCAATAAGAGTAAGAATTTGTAGAATGTGGAACGCCATTAATCTCAAGAAAAATGGTGAGCTTATCATTATGGATATGATATTTATCGATGAAAAGGTACATTTCTGATTGATTCATTTACCAATTTTTTTTGGGTAGTTTCAATTTATCAAATTACTTACTAATTACTTCTTCTATCAGGGTAATTTGATGCATGGTATAATTAGAAAAAATCAGGTTAACAGGTTCAAAGACAAGTTGAATGAAGGTTCTGTATTTATCATCAAGAACTTCAAAGTTGTTGAAAGCATTGGGGGATATAGACCTGTTCAAAACTCATTAAAAATCATTTTCTTTGCCTCAACTGCAATCAAGAATTTGTTTGAAGATATTGTTGAAATTCCAGTAAACGGTTTTGAATTTGTTAATCCTAATGTCATTGACTCAAGGGTGAATAACAACATTGTCTTATCAGGTCTATATTTATATTTAAAGTCTTACCGATTACATTTAATGTAAATGCTAAATAATTGCCTAAACTATTCAAATAGAACACTTGCATATGAATCTTCCTCTTCAATTTTCGTAGATGTTGTTGGTTGTTTATATGGAATTGGTGATATCGAGAGTGTTGTTTCAAAATGGAAGAAGAGGGATATCCACATTCTTACTGATTAGTAAGTCACTCATCTCATTTTAAGTTGTTTTACTTTGTTATCTCCTTACCATAAAATTATTTGATCATTGATTCATGGTTTCTATGCATAGTTTGGCTAAAGAAAAAATTACCTTATGGGAAGAATTTGGGGAGAAGTTTTGTCCTTATTTGTATAACAATGATGCTGGCCCATATATAGTGATAGTGACTTCTACAACAGTGAAGGAATTTCGTGGTAATTGTTACAGATTTAGTTGTACTTACTAGCAATTTAACTCCAAGCGTTTTAAAGAAATGACATGCTTTCATCTTTAACCCAATAGGTGAGGTTAGCTTCTCCACCACCTATGCAAGCAAAATATATGTGAATCTTGATATAGATTACATACAATCTTTGGCTCCAAAATTTTCCACCATGTCCAATGAAGTTCAAATTATAAAAAGCTCTAATGTTAAAAGTCTTCCTCGTGAGGAAGAGATGTTTTTGAACCGTATGGACATTAAGGAGTTGCTGGAGGCTGAGTGGAGCTCTGAACTACAAGTTCTTTTCTTATTACGCTTCTCATATAATTGGTTTACCATTTAAACATGATCATTACACTATATCATGATATTTAATTAAAATTGCACGAATACATTGTTACAGTGAAGAGCAAGATAATAGAAATAGATAACTATTTTGGTTGGTACTACATTTCATGCAATGTGTGCTCGAAGAATATTGAACCAACAAATAGTATTTATCGATGCCACAATTGCAACAAAGATTGCAAATTTCCTTTGGTCAGGTAACAATTTACGAAGGACTGTGAATTAGGTTTGTATATGTTGTGAATGAATCTAACTTATTATGTAAACATAGGTACAAGATACACCTAAAAGTGACAGATAGGACCGGAGACACTACTTTTATCTTATTTAATGCGGTGGCTGAGAAACTCCTTGATACATCAGCTCACAAGTTGTTCAACAAGCTTACTACAGCTAACAATGATGTGCCTGTCAAAGTCCACAGCCTTTGCGGGAAAGAATTTGTTTTTAAATTGAGATTAAATCACTATAATTTGAAAGAAGGTCTTGAGAATTTTACAATATCAAAGCTTTGGATTCCAGATGATAATTTGGAAGTACAATACAAACCAAAGAAAGAAGAAAAGGTATTGCAATATAGACTATGAGTTTTTAATTTACAATTACGTTTACTTTGAAATTTATTTTTCATACTGTTCTTCTTCCAGGGGAAGAACTTATCCAAAAATGAAACTGACCCAAAAGATCAGGGAACCAACGGATTGACCAAACAGATGGTAATTACATTTAATGTTTTAATATAAAAAATCAAATCATTTTAAGGACTAACATGGTTAATAAATATGTTCATAAATTTACTTTTTGAAGAACAATCAGGTATCTGTTGATGAGTTGTTTACTGACTTGGAAGATTATGAGGATGAAGCACATGTAACTAATGCTGCTAAGAGTAGAAAACAAAGAAACCTAATCATAGATGATGAGGAATTAAGCGTTCAAGACACAAATAAGGTCAAGAAGTAAAGGGATTATTGTTGGTCATAAATGACGAGGAATAAGTGTGCATCACACAAATTAGTTGAAGAAGTAGAGTTATAATTGTTGCTTCTGATCGTTTTCTGTTTTTTTAAGCTAAATTTAGTTGTTTCGTCCTATTATAATTTACACTTTAGTTAAGTTATTTAGTCCTTTTACCATTTTAAGTTTAGTTTAATAAGTAGCTCCATGTTGTCCGTAGTGATGATTTTCATACTTGTATGGTTTTATCCAACCTTAGACAGCTTATATTATTAATCTATTTCGTTGTTTGCATATGATGTCGCGGTCAACAAAATCGGATATTTTTCTTCTTCAATTATATATCCCTATATCAGAGTGACAGGGCCTTAGTACGAGCATGTTGTTGCTTGTCACCACTAATAGAGACAACTTTCCAACACCTGAGGCAAAGACACTTTAAACATCACAAAATGTAAACCAGATATGATACACAATACAATGAGCATGGTGCATACTACATGTACCAATGTTGCCAGGG